TCATCATCATCAGCATCAGCATCATCATCATCATCATCATCATCATCATCATCATCATCATCATCATCATCATCATCATCATCATCCTCATCCTCATTCTCATGCTCATCCTCATCCTCATCCTCATCCTCATCCTCATCATCATCATCAACACCACCACCATCATCAGCAACAGCATCAGCATCAGCATCAGCATCAGCATCATCATCGTCCTTACCATCAGCATCATAATCATCACGACCATCATCTTCATCATCACCATCGCCAACATTAACAGCATCATCATCACTATCACCATCACAATCATCATCGCCATTATCGTCATCTTCGTCGTCATCATCATCATCAACATCATCATCATTCCCATCAGCATCGTCCGCATCCTCGTCCTCATCATCCTCCTCGCTCCTCCCTCCTCATCCTGCTCTTCCTGCTGTTGCTCCTCCTCCTCCTCCTCCTCGTCCTCCTCCTACTCCTCCTCCCTATCCTCCTCCCTCCTCCCTCCTCCCTGCTCCCTCCTCACTCCTCTCCTCCCTCCCCCTCCTCCCGCCTCCCGCCTCCCGCCTCCCTCCTCCCATTAGTCGTAAGTCGTCCGTTGTCGGCGTCGAGGTCGCCATCGTCGTCGTCGTCGTCGTCGTCGCCGTCGTCGTCGTCGTGTCCACCAGCATCTGGAGCGCCTCGGATCGGCGGTACTGGCCGGAGGCCATTCAAATACATACAAATCCAAGGATTTCTCAAGTTTTTCCCCAAACAGCTTGCTGAACGGGGTGCTGTTGTGATAGAAGCTAATTCCGGCCGAGGGAAAGCTAAGCAGAGACATCCTCAAACAAATGTGGTGGTCCGGCCCGTTTCGCCTGAGACATCCTCACAACTCTCGTTTCTGAGTTGTCCAGGATTGAGCGTTTCGCCTGAGACATCCTCCTAAATCTGAGCTCTGAGAGGCCGCGCGAGAGTGGTCCGGGCCGTTTCGCTTGAGACATCCTCGAAACTCTGAGCTCCCAGATGCCGCGCGAGAGGTGGTCCGGGCCGTTTCGCCTAAGACATCCTCGCAACTCTGAGCTCCAAGATGCCGCGCGCGAGGTGGTCCGGCCCGTTTCGCCTGAGACATCCTCGAAGCTCTGATCTCCCCGATGCCGCGCGCGAGGTGGTCCGGCCCGTTTCGCCTGAGACATCCTCGAACTTCTGAGCTCTGAGATGCCCTGCGCGAGGTGGTCCGGCCCGTCTCGCCTGAGAAATCCTTGCAACTCTGAGATCTGAGATGCCGTGCGCAAGGTGGTCCGGCCTGTTTCGCACAAGATATTCTCGCAACTCTGAGCTCTCAGATGCTGCGCAAGAGGTGGTCCAGCCTGGGGCCCAGAAGGCCACATGTTACATATCCTCCATGGGACCCTGCGAGCCTCAGGAGGCCCCAGAGAGGTCCAGGAGGCCGCAGGACGCCCAGGACAGGCCCCAGGGGTCCGCAGGAGATTCCCAGGAGGCTCCCAGGAGGCCCCAGGAGGCCCCTTCTCAGAACGTGTCAAGTTAATACACATCCGGTGCCGATTCGTTGATTTTTCCTGCTCTTGTAGCCCCCCCACAATTGGGAGAGGCCCACGCGGCCACAGTTATATATCCCCCCTGGGCCCCAAGATGAGATGCTGTGATGGACCTCAGGTGGGTTTCGGAGGCCACAGGAAGGCCAGGAGGAAGCCTCAGGAGTCCCCAGGGAGGCAGGAGGCACCAGCGGGCCGCGGGACGCCCAGGACAGGCCCCAGGGGTCCCCAGGAGATTCCTAGGAGGCTCACAGGAGGCCCCAGGGGGCCGCATATCAGAACGTGTCAAGTTGAAACACATCCGGTGTCGATTCGTTGATTCTTCCTGCTCTTGTGCCCCCCCCTCCATTTGGAGAGGCCCAAACGGCCACAGGTTTGATATCCCCCCTGGGAGCCCCAAGAGGCTTCAGGAAACCCCAGGTGGAGTTCACGAGGCCACAGGAGGCCCAGGAGGAAGCTCCAGGAGGTCCCCAGGAGGCCCCAGGAGGCACCAGGAGGCCCCCGCAACTCGGAGCTCTGAGACGCCGCGCTCGAGGTGGTCAGCCCGTTTCGCCTGAGACTTCCTCGCAGCACGTTTCGCCCGAGACATCGTCGCAACTCTGGGGTCCGAGATGCCGCGCGCGAGGTGGTTCCAGCCCCGACCCGCTGGAGACATCCTCGAAACTCTAGGCTCCGCCATTTCTTCGCGATGAGAGGAGGTGGGGGAGAGGAGGGAGCGAGGAGGAGGAGGAGGTAGGAGGAGGGGAGGAGCTGAAGGGAGCCGGAGGAGGCGGCATGGTGTGCAAGAGGGAGCAGGCAAGGAGGAGGGGAAGTCCAGAGAGCTTCAGGAGGCCGCAGAACGCCCAGGACAGGCCCCAGGGGTCCGCAGGAGATTCCCAGGAGGCTCCCAGGAGGCCCCAGGAGGCCCCCTATCAGAACGTGTCAAGTTAATAAACATCCGGTGTCGATTCGTTGATTTTTCCTGCTCTTGTGCCCCCCCCCCTCCATTTGGAGAGGCCCAAACGGCCACAGGTTAGATATCCCCCCTGGGAGCCCCAAGAGGCTTCAGGAAACCCCAGGTGGAGTTCACGAGGCCACAGGAGGCCCAGGAGGAAGCCCCAGGAGGTCCCCAGGAGGCCCCAGGAGGCACCAGGAGGCCCCCGCAACTCGGAGCTCTGAGACGCCGCGCTCGAGGTGGTCCGGCCCGTTTCGCCTGAGACTTCCACGCAGCACGTTTCGCCCGAGACATCGTCGCAACTCTGGGGTCCGAAATGCCGCGCGCGAGGTGGTCCAGCCCGTTACGCTGGAGACATCCTCGCAACTCTGGGTTCCGAGATGCCTTTCGGGATGAAGAGGAGGTGGACGAGGAGGAGGAGGAGGAGGAGGAGGAGGAGGAGGCATGTTTTAACATGCCATGCCAGCCCGCACTAGGCGGGCACGCAATCGACCTTGGAAACCGTAGGGGTCTAAAAACCCTGTTTGGGGATACTGCACTCCGGCTATAATTCCGTACTTTTTTGTATGTCCGTCTTCCCCCCCACTTCACATAGTTTCCCATATCTTCCTGGGAGGCGACGATTACTTGTGTCTGTGTTTTTGCTCCCTCCTGGTTTGCGTTGGCCCCCACTAAAACAGGGCTGAGATCGGGATAAATCGCTCCAGAGCGCTCCGGAGCGCTCTCAGAGCGTTCCGGAACGCTCTGGAGCGGCCGTGGCGCCCAATACATCCTCCAAACCCGCCGATTCTCAGAGATTTCGAATTATCCCGATCCGATTTTGTCCCGATCTTCGTGTCGTTTTACCCACCTCAGGGCTGCCGACCCCTCCCGCGCACAGAGGGGCGCCGCCGAGGCGTCCTGGCACTCCAGAGGCCCGCGGCGCCCCACGATGGCGCACGCGCCGGGCCGCGCGCGTGCGCGCGCGGCGGGCCGGGTGCTGCCCGAGCCGTCCCTGGCCCCAAGTCGGGGAGACGTACAGTCTTGGGCGCCCGAGATATCCGGGATAACTCGGGTCGGGGGTAACTCGGGTTTGGACTTGGATGATGATTTTGGTGCTCTGGACGCCCGAACTATCCGGGGTAACTCGGGTCCGGGGTAACTCGGGTCGAACCCGAGTTAGCCCTGACCCGAGTTACCCCTGATGATTCGGGGCTCTGAAAGTCGGGGAGACGTACAGTCGGACTTGACTGGAGAGGGCACGCGAGAGGACAAAAGGCCCTTTTCCGAGGGGCACACTGCCACAGGAGTGCAGGAGGCACGGGTCGCGAGACACAGGACACAAGGGCACCCTTGACTTGGCAGGGTCGACCTACTAGTCTGGGCCGACTGTCAGACTCGGGTGCAGGGGACTCGGGTTGGCCTGACGGGGGCCATCATAAAAATGACGAGACCCCATCTGAAATTTGGCGCGAGCTCCCGCTGCAGACCTGCCACGAAAACTGGGCCGTCAAAATCCAGGACGCGCTCGTCAAAAAGCGTCGGCAAACCCGAGTTCCGCCCTGCACGAGTCTCACGCTACCCCGACCAAGGTGCCCCCCCGGGGAGCCCCAGAAGGCCCAAAGGTGGCCTCCGGAACCACGACCAGCGAGGCCCAGAGGGTCCCAGGGGCTCCAGGACCAGGGGAAGGAGGAGCACGACTGCATGCACATAAGCGTTCCGAGCTCCGGCCGGATGTCTCGGGTCGGCGCTGTGCACCCCTCTTGGCGCGCGCAGCGCGCCAAAGGCGGCGCGGGCAGCGCCGCCAGGGGGCCTGAGAGCCCGATCCAAGAAATCTGCGCGGAGCCCCAGAAAGTTAGAGTTATGCAGTTTGTATTTCCCGAGCAAAGCTTTGAGCAGGGACCGACCGTCCCGGCATGCCTATAGTCATACCACGAAATGCTCTTAGAACCCAAAAATGTTCGAATCACAAAAACAATGTCCTTAGAATATAAACCCGATGTAATAAAACAAGCCAGATTCCGCCAGGCATGTTCTAAGAACCTTTCGTGGAAACCACGAAAGGTTCTTAGAACATTGTTTAGTAGGGCTATAGGCGAGCCAGGACGCTTCGCCGCTGCTTGAAAGCCGAAAGCACCTTTGAGGGGCAACGATCGATGGGACCGGCTCAGAGAGGAAATATCGAGCTAGAATCGGTGATGTATAGCCGTTCGGGACGACCTGGGCACCCCTGGAACGCTCTCGGCGAGGCGCAGCCGCTGGAGACCACCCCTGGTCTGGAAAATTCCCGAACCCGTTCGAAGACGCCCGAAAACTTCCAGAAGCTTGCCGAAAACCTGTCCCCCTCAGGAGGTAACTCACGGGAGCCTCCCATCCCATCTTGTTGGCTCGTGCGAATCGGCGCTAAATCGACGCTAATAGACGCAAAACCGACGCTGATCGAAGCCAGCCGACGCAGAAACCGGCGCCATATTATCGACTACCAGGCGGCTCCCGCGATTCGCTACCGAACAAACCAGGCCGCCCAGGGGCCTCTTTCATATCCGCGTGCGCGTGAGAGGATGTGCCAGGGGGCGTGTCAGAGGGCATCTGTGCAGGCGCCTCGTCGGCGTCTCTTGGGGCCTGTTCCGGGGGCGTCTTGAGCCGTCCTCGGGCCCTCGTCGTGGGCCCCTCTAGGTCCTCTTGGGAGTATCCCAGGGTTTGCTACCAAACCCGACAGGGTCAAGACAATCAAGCCAGACGATGAAAGCACTATGATGTCAGTATCGGGCTGACGCTTCGTCCCTTGCGGGGCTCTTCTAAGCCAATCTGACCACTGATCATGCGCGTGCACAACCTCATCCCGCAATTCAGAACCCCCCCCTCCTCCTGCGAAACGATAACGCGTCCAACACCCGGAAGCGTTCTCCTGGCACCCTGAGGAGGAGGAGGCGGAGGAGGAGGAGGCGGAGGAGGAGGAGGCGGAGGAGGAGGAGAAAGAGGCATGCAGGCACTGCCCCAGCACGCGCGACACGTGGCAGTGCTCCCCGACGTCTGCCCCCGCCGACCGGACGCCAGGGGCCCTCTCTGGCAGCAGCCGAGCGGGCGCCCCCCGCGGGTTCCGCTCGCGCGCGCGCGCGCGCCGCCTCCCCTCCTGCCGAGCAGCTGGCTCGCGGGGGGGGGGGGCGCGGGGGGCCGCGCGCGGAGTGCTCGGGGGGGGGGGGGGGGTGGTGGCGCGCGCGGATCGAGGGTCGGGGCTCGGGTGTAGGGGGGGGCGCCGAGGATCGTAGGGCCGAGGGCCGGGAGCTCTGGAGGCCGGGGGGAGGTCTGTGGAGGCCCCGGGGGTTCCAGAGGAGTTCTCACGAGCTCCCACCCTCTTCTGATTAGCAGTATTATGTTCTCTCTCTCTCTCTCTCTGTGTGTCTGGTTATCTCTCTATCTCTCTCTCTCTCTCTCTCTCTCTCTCTCTCTCTCTCTCTCTCTCTCTCTATATATATCGTTTTATCTCTCTCTCTCTCTCGTTCTCCTCGATGGCGAACAGAGACTGCATGCACGAGACGCGCAAGCCTGGGACGTGCATGCCTGGCTGGGTCTAGCAGGGCTTAGCAAGTATGAACAGTGCTTAGGAGGTGCGAGCAAGGCCAGCAGGTCTTAGCAGGGTCCAGCATTGTCTATTAGAGCTTATACGGGCTTGGCATGTTTAGCCTGGTCTAGCGAGGCCCAGCTGGGCATGGGAGTATCGCCACTTAGCTGGCCGTATTGGGGAGAGGGGCTACGATGGCCTAGCAGGGCTTAGCAAGGCTTAGCAAGCGCTCGCAGAGTTTCACAGTGCTTAGCGGGGAAGCCTAGCAATACTGGCCAGGGGGTGGCATAATATGCCATAACTTAGCATGGCTCTGCGGGGTATGTCGAGCCATAGAAGGTCTTCGTGAACCTTAGCAGGATTTTGCGAAGACTGCCAGAGCTCAGGTCTACCACAGCTAAGCAGGGCATAGCAGAGGGTAGCGGGGACGAGCAAGGGCTAGGGCAGGCTCATCAGGGCTTAGCAGGGCCTAGCCTGGCCTACAAGTGGTGCTTAACACTTCTCCACCTAGTCTTTCGGTTCTTAGCAGAATTCACAAAAGCCCGGCATGGCGTTGCCAAGATTCGCAGCGCCCGACCAGGGCACAACGAACCTTAGCAGAGTTTAGCAGTGCCCAGCAGAGGCTGGCATGGCAAGGCAAGGCTCTCGAGGGCCGAGCAGGGCGTCGCATAGCCAATCGATGGTACACCTCGGCCTGGCAGAGCCTAGCATCGCTTAACATGGCTTGGCAGGGCCACCATGTCGAAACAAGACTTGTCAGGACCCAGCAAAACCCAGCAGGGCGTCGCAAGGCCTAGGAGGGCTTCGCAAGGTCTGGGAAGATCAGTAGACCCCAGCAGGGCTTAGCAAGATGTACCAGTGCGCCTCAGGGCTAAGCAGGACCCAGGAGAGCCCAGCAGTACGTAGCAAGGCGCACCAAGGCTTAGCACATCTGAGCAACGCCTGGCATGAGTTAGCACAGCTTACCAGGGACAAACAGGGCCCATCACAGCTTAGCAGACCCTAGCTTGCCTGAAGAGGGCTTGGAAACAAGGCGGGCCATGGCTTAGCATGCCATTGGCAACATGGCTTATCGGGGCCTAGCATGACCGACCAAGGCTTATCAGAGCGCAGCGGGGCAGATCAGGGCCGAACAGAGTTTAGCAGTGCCAAAAAGAGCAACACTTGGCTCATCCGGGATGAGCATGGCTCCGCAGAGCCTGGCAAGCCCCCGCCAGGCTGAGCCAGACTTAGCAGTGCTTCGCAGGCCTCAGCAGGCCATATCAACATCGAGAATGGCTTGGCTGTGGTAGGGAATGCGCGACGGAACCCACTGGTTAGCAGGGGCTAGCAGACCCTAGCAGGGCGTGGCATGCCATAGCGTAGCAGGGCTTACCAGGACCAGGAATGGACAGGGCCCAGCAGGGCACAACAGGCAACCTTATGGTTTCGCAAAGCATGCCAGGGCAGCGCAGAGTTCATCAGGGCTTCGCAGGACCGAACAAGGCTCACCAGGGCGTTGCCAGGGTATGGCATGTCAGAGAGTCGAAGAGCGGAACGGAACTGAAACGGGTTCCACAAGGCTTCGAAAGGCGTGCCACAACATGACACGCCTTAGCAGTGTATAGCAGGAGGTAGCATTGCATATCCGGGCCTAGCAGGGCTTTGCAAAGCTTACCATGGCGTAGGAGAGCTTGGCAGAGCTTAGCGGGGCAGACCGTAACCTTGCAAGGCGCTAGCAGGGCTCCCCAACGTGACTTAGCAGCAGGGCTTAACAGGCACTGGCAGTGTTCATTCGACGGGCTTAGCAGAAGCTGGCAGGGCTCAGCAGTGCTTAGCAGGGGCTGGCAGTGCCCACCAGGAACTAGCAGGGTTGAGCAGGGGCTAGCAGGACTTAGCAGGACTTCGCAGGGGGGAGCTAGCGGGCTTAGCATGGGCTGGGGGGGCGATGGGGAGGAGGAGGAAGAAGAGGAGGAGGACAGGGAGGAGGAGACGATCCAGGAAAATGTGTTTGCCCGCGCCCCCAACAAAAACACACGAAAACAAAACGAATCACGTGGGTGGAGAGTTGTCCAATTGTGCGTGTGTGTGTGTGGAATGTGTGTTGTGTGTTGTGCGTTGTGTGTTGCGCGTTGTATGTTGTGTGTTGTGTGCTGTGTGTATGGTATGCTGTGTGGTGTTGTGTGTGCGCGTGTGCTGTGTGAGTTGTGTGTGTGGTGTTGTACGTGTGGTGTTGTGAGTGGTGTTGCGTGTGGTGTTGTGTGTGGTGTTGTGTGTGGTGTTGTGTGCTGTGTGTGTGGTGTTGAGTGCGTTGTGTGTGTTGTGTGTTGTGTGTGTTGTTTGTGTTGTGTGTTGTGTGATGTGTGTGTTGTGCGTGGTGTTGTACGTGTGGTGTTGTGAGTGGTGTTGTGTGTGGTGGTGTGTGTTGTGTGTGTGGTGTTGTGTGCGTTGTGTGTGTTGTGTGTGTTGTGCGTGTGTTGGTTGTGTCGTGTGTTGTGCGTTGTGTGTTGCGTGTTGTGTGTT